TCACAAGAAATATTTACGGGATCAAATAAATTCAATTGAAGTAAATAAAAATCATTTAGAAGAGAAAATAAGTAATGTGAAAAGATTCTTCAAACGTCAACTAAATAATAAAAATTTTGTTAATGAAACTAAGCTACAACAAGAGGTAGAAGGTTTAATAAGTTTTATTCAAAAACAATTGGTTAACGTATTGAACAAAACTGAGTTACAAAATTTAATTTCATTAATATCTAAATTAGATGATAAGATTGCAAAACAAAAATTAGACATTCGACAACATTCCAGATGAAAATGAAGATACGTTTCAACAGGAATTAAATGCTCTGGAAACTAAACTTAACAGTGAATTACAAAAAGAACTAACAAATATTAAACAACAAATACAAAACATAGATGATAGCGAAATTAAAACCTATATTCAACAACAAATACAAAATGTTGATGATAGTGTTATTCAACAACAGATAACCACTATTAATAACGTAGTTTTAAAACACGACAAAAATATAGTCGCATTAGAAAAGTATCTCAAGAAAGAAAATAAATCACATTATTTCAATCTTCCATTTAGATATTTGATTAAAAAAGGTGCTTCTATTCAGAAGGATATAACTACATCGAGACATTTATGGAGTGCAGCAACTTTAAAAGCCAACTTCGATTCACACGTCAAAAGCTAACTTAAAGTAAATGAGACTCAATATATCGTTGAGATAAATGAAGAAGAAAAAGAATTTGACTGTATACCTCCTAAATCTACACGACTAACACCTAGTCATTTGGGGTCATTCGTATTATCTCACAGTAAAAAAATAATGAATAATTTTATTCACGTAATAGATGGGTTTTATAAGCCGGAAATATACTATACAGATACTGATAGTTTATACATTTCGGTGGAATGTGGAATTATATATGGTTTATATTTAGCGCCAAAAGTTAAATATAATATTATTCTAACTTCTGACTGTATTCTAAAAGAAAAGAAAACGTTTAAGGGTTACTCTAATGATAAGATAGCTGTAGAAGATTATATTCGATTAGCTAGTGGACATGATGTGACGAATGAATTAAAGAAACCATGAGAAAAAAGTTTCACCAATGGAGTAGTTATTCTAAAGGATGATGTTAATGTGTATGTAAAATCTTTTGTATCGATTTTGAATAAAGGGGAATTTGGACTAAATATTATTCTTAAACCATTAAACAATAAACCTTGATTATCAACGATTGGTGAAATGCTCTTTGGTAAATCTGGGCTAGGGTTTGAAAAAAGACCATTTATATCATCCTAATTATAATAAAACCATTATATTCAATCGGTTTGGGGTGATGAGGTGTGGGTTCTATATGAGGTGTGGGTTCTAAAGCTAATTTCTTTTTAATATCCTCTTGAGATTTTAATATTGTTTGAAATAGAGTTTGTAGATTTTCTGTTAATCCAAGTAGTTGTAATTTGTTTTTTTCAACTTGGGTCTTTATTTTATTCTTAGCTTTGATATAGTCTCTATTTCTTTTTAAACTATTATTCCAATTATCCATCTTTAAAAAAATAACTCTTTCACCCGCAGGTTTTCTAGTATTTACAAATACATATCCATGATCATCTGGATTTCTCCATTGAGCTTTACAAACCTTTTTAAATGTATCTCTATCCATTCCGTGATTTATCGACTGAATGATTTGAGATAAATCTTTATCATTTAATTCAAATAATAAAAAACAATTTGCATTTTTTCTAATGAACATAGAATCCATCACGTAAAAAGATTGGGATTGGTATATGCAGTGACAGTTTTGATGTCTTCCTTTCGTGAAGAATTCTTGTTGAACAGCTTGATTTCTTTGCGCTATGCAGTCGTCAAATAATATTAAGTTCTTTCGATTGCTATCAATATTAGACAAGTCTAGATCATTAACATTTTTCGTAAGAAAAACTTTTATATCCGTTGGATTGAAAGATAGATTCTTTGCTTTAATGTAGTTATCTATGATATCTTTTATTTCCCCTTTTTCTTCGTTTTCTTCGTAATATTGAAATATGTCTTGAACATCTTTCTTTGGTAAATATTCTAAAGCTTTGAGAAATTGATAATATGATTGATCTGGTGTTGTTGTGTAGATATACAGAGAATCGAAATCTAAAAGGTTTTGTGTTGTCAACATGTTAAAAGTGAGATGAGTTTTCCCAGAACCGGAACTACCGCATATACACATAAGCATTGGGTTACTAGGAAATATTTCTGAATGTTTGAATTTCTTTCAACAGAAGATTGGATGATTAAGTGCAAAATCTACATATTCAAACTGAGGTGGATTTCCAAATAATTCACACATGTTTTTATAGTTTCTATACAAGTCATTATAATCCTTGAGTTTGGTTCGTTGCTACTCTAAAGATATCATTGTTATTCGTTTGAGAATTTGGTAAGTTCTTGAAACCAACCATTAAATATCTTGCTGGTTTAAGAGTGTGAGTGATTGGCCATGTGGTGGATTTTCCAGTTAAAGTCATGCTACCTACCGTATTACGATGAAGAAAAGCTATTTCAATATCTTTAGTTAATGAGTTGAATATTATTGTTTCTACTTCAATTGATGGTGTTATTACGGGTATGAAAAGTTGGAGATTCGTTATTTCTAATTTTGCATTTGAAGCATTCTCTCCAAAGAATATCTTATCATCGTTGATTTCTCTTTGTAGATGAATTTTATATGATAACCCTATGGAAACCTTTCTGTGTTCCAACAGACCGAATAAAGGATATAATTTTCAATTTACATAATTACCACACCTATTATTCTCAACAACATTATTATACTGAAGTACCCGTTTTTCGAATCCATGATTAGCTGCTCGTGCTACTCTTTCTATTGTGTTTCGAGCAACAACTCTCACTCTAGCTAAATCAGCATCATTTGCAAGATGTCTTACCGGTTGTTATAAAACACTTCCATCGCCAACATCGGGTATCCAACCTGAGACTGAATCGAAATCTTTAGGATATAAAACTGTTTTCAACATTGTTTCGAATTTCCCAGGGTGTTTAATTGTTTCTATCGGATTTGAACCAGCTTCCAAAACCATCTCTCTAAATAATGATGGAAGAAATTGTTTTCTAACGTTGTATTAGTTTGTGGTACACGATTTTTATTGGGAGTTCCATCTTTTATTTTGAAATCGAATCTGAAATAAGCATCGGAAAGAAGCAACCAATTCGATAATGAATTTATTTCGAAGGTAATTCTACCACTATCATTCATCTGGGATTTAGAACCAACAGTCGGTGAGATGATAATATAATCCTCTTTTTTCTTGTTAAATGAATAACGAATTGGATTGTATAATTTAAAGATTGGATCTAGTATTTTATTTGCCATTTTTAAGGTTTAAATATTGAGTAGAAATTGTGGTCTGTTTTTTTTCCAAAAAAAGAGTTGTCTTCCTTCTAGAAAAAACAGGATGTTAAGCGAAACAAGGAAGTTATTTTATATAAGGGTATTTTTAATATGCTTTTTTGATGGAATGTAGGAATGGATTGAAGGTGTTTTTTGGTGTCAGAATTTATGAAATGTAGGGTGTTGAGGTCTTTTTTGGGACCTTTCAATATGGTCGCACTTTCCCCATCGAATGAAATGGAATGGGGAATCCCCTTGCGACCATATTGTAAGGTCTTATACTATTAGTAACACAGGTTTCACCTCTGAAACTAAACGTGTTTTCAGGTATGAGTGATGGTGGGTTATTTGCTTGGGATTGTGAAACATATCCAGAAAGTGAAACGCGTAAAACAATAGCTTATGCGTGTACGTTAATTAATTTAGAAAAACTAAGAAAAATGTTAGGCAGAATAAATAATCTCTTTCCAGATTTAAATCCTACAGATAATGTTCCGGAAGAATTTTATGATAAACTAATGAATATAGTAGAAATATTTGTAGGTACAGATTGTATAGATCCAATGTTGAAATATTTAGGTCAATATGATAGAAATAGAATAATATAAATTTCTCATAACGGTAAAAAAACTAACGCATTGTCTTTTAAAAACACCCAGAGGAATTTTGTCTTTATCTTTATCTAATCCATACACAGATGAAGATTTACAGAAAAAATGGAAAAGATAGAAAGAAATAACAAGCGATAATAATTATTTACAACATATTAATTTCAACA